CTGGCTTCCCTCCGTCTCATCACTGGCGAGCTTTGCCCTGGTCAAGGTGCCGAGCGTCTGGAGCGTATTGCTTTCAACTCTCGCTACCTCCGCCTGGGTCTTAAGCGTCTTGGCTTCATCGTCTACGGCCACGACGACTCCCCCATTATCCCCGTCATGCTTTACAACCCTGGAAAGATGCCCGCATTCAGCCACGCGATGCTTAAGCGCAAAATCTCTGTCGTTATTGTCGGCTACCCCGCTACGCCTCTCATCAGCTCCCGCGCTCGTTTCTGTGTCTCTTCGGCTCACAACAAGGAGGATCTCGACAGATTGCTCCAGGCTTGTGACGAGATCGCCGACCAGCTCCAGATCAGATTTTCCACTGGTGTTGCTGGTGGCGCCGAGCCCCTCCCCGAGGGTGTCACGCCCGAGACGGAGAAGGAGTGGCGCAAGGCGAACGGTCTCGAGGGCGTCTACAAGCCTCCCCGCTGGAAGCTTGAGGACGTCATTGCCCGCGGTGTCCAGGACTGCAAGACCATTCTGCGATAAAGCATCCGCCCTTTTCATGTTCAAAAATGTTTGGCGACGAGTACACATTTCACGACTGCTTTGACTATTTGGTCAGACGCTGACGAGGCGCGGACTGGACGGGGAAACGAAGCAACGTCCTTGATGGCGGGGGGAGAGGGAGTTCGGTGCACTGTATTCACTTCTGTTGGCATCGGCTTGTTTGCATGATACCTATGATATCGAGTGTCGTGTGTCTCTTGTTCCTTGACTGGGATGCCTGCATGGCAATGGCGTTACGGGAGTGATGGTTGGATTAGCGAACGAATTCATGTGCCACGGCACCGAAACTATATAAATATTAGTATTAGGCTCCTCGGAGCTGAGAAATTTAGACAACTAAGGCACCTTAGAATAATGTACACACAATTGAACCATTGAAAGTTCTGCTACATCTTGGCTGTGAAATCAATACCCTGGTGGAAGAGGGAAATTTACTTTGGGGAGGGACCGCAGTCTGACGCTCCGGTAAGAGTAACACCAAACTTTTTCTGGTCATGTTGGCTGAGGTTGTTTTGCACTGCGTCTCGACATGTTGGTAACGCCACGAGGCTTGATCTTCTGGGTCGTGGATAACTTGCAACGTCCATCTCGACAAAGCTATTTCTTGGGTAGTCACCTCAAGTATACCATTATTAGACGAAGCCACTGGTGTTCTACACATCCTCGAGCTGAAAACATTAATGGGGTGGGGGGTGGAAAGCCGGTCCATTCCGCCGTTGAAGAGATGCTCAGTACAACCAGCATGGCAACGACACCACATGAACAAGCCTCCTACACGGCAACAGCTCTCTGACGGGAGCTTTCCTCTTGAAGAATCCTACTCATGCTTTCACACCAGCTGCTCTGGCTCGCAGCTCCCCGTTCCTTCTGTTCCTGGCCAAAAGGGATGCTACGACCAGGCCATACCACCGCTCTTGCCCCATCCCTCTTGCCCCCAGGGCAGGTTGCTCCTGCCAAGGTGAACTTGGATGAAGTTGCTCCTTCCTTCTGTCCAGAACAAACCTGAAAGTACGTACTTATTATTGCGATGGCTCAAGTACCTAGAATTCGACCTGTCTCCACGTCAACCCGCGTCTCTGTTTTGATTCCTTCCACCTCACCACCTCATCGTCGATTGTTCACCACCCTTCATCCACCCCAAACATCACCAGCCCCGATCACACCCAGGAACAAACCTTTGCCCTCTTCATCTCTACCTTGAACATCCGGTATTCTTGTTTTGTGCCGTGTGTGGAATTTTTGGTCTTGTTTTCTTACCACTCGTCTCTTCGTCGACATTGGCACTTTCGGCCGCAGCTTTGGCGCCTTCCTCCAGCACGAAGCCGTCTCAAAACAACTAACAGCCGAACTGCAGACAATCGAGCCGCACGGTTCTTGATCGGTCAGTCCCTATGGCGGACGACTACCTCCGGCACGGCCCTGAGCCGGCTCGACTTCTGCACCCTCGGCGGATTGGCGGTGCTCGAGAGGCTTCACGGCACCGGGACGGTTCGGGTGATCACATCCTCCCACCCCTGCGGCCTTCCTCCTCTGGTGATAAACACACTTACACTTCTGCATACTTTGAGATCATGGGTCACCAGGGCGGTTCTTACACCCATGTCGCTGCTCAGCATTCTCGCTCGGCCAGCACAGGTGGTGGTGGTCGCCGGCAGGTCGCCTCTGATGCAGGCCATAAAACCCGGACCACCTCGTCATCGGCTAACTTCCCGACTGTTGGCACTCCTTCCAAGAGTTCTCGGCTGGAGCTTTCGTCACAAGTTGATGGACTGTCTCTTTCTAAGGTGCCGCGCAGCCAAATGATACGTGATACAGTCTCCAGCAGTGCAGTCGCGGGATCATCATCTCAAGATGTTGGCAGACCCTCTTCTAAGGCAAACAAGTCTAAAGTCGAGTTTGGCGAGCAAGGCCTCTTTGTTGAACAACATGGCTCGCATCCTCTGGTTAACAACCCGCCGGTTCGTCATGGACGCTTCCCAGATTCGTCCCCTTTCAGAATCCCATCATCTCCCTACCGCGATTCTGACGACCAACACCCAATGCGGAGAGGACCCCGGGGTCACCTCGTTGAAGACAGCCTATTGCCTCAGAAAGATCTCCGCGATCTTCTGTTCCCCGACGATGAAGATAAATCCGTCAAGAGATGCTCGGCGCGAGGAGTATCGGGCTTTGCTGTCGAAGATGACGAGTCCGAAAATGAAGACGACCGTGTCAGACTTCAACTCGATGTCATATCGAAAGGGACGGCTTCGAAAGGAACAACGTCTAACAGCAAAAATATGGCAGCAGCTGGAGCAGTGAGCCGCAGCAACCGTCGAGCAAAGTCAGCTCCAAAGTCAACTGCCAAGAAGAACAATACGTTCAGTCTTCGACCTTCGGTAGATTCAAACGCATCTGCTTCCTCTACCCGCATTCGAACTGGCGGAGACACGAGAGGCATCGACCAGGCGAGTCGACCGAGCACGCGTCCCGCTCCGTCCACACACGCTACCACTCAGACGAGTCAATCGCGTTCAGGAAACCCTGGAAGCTCAATGGGACTCAGCGTGACGACAAGAATGGCTATAAGAGCAACCAAGCCTCAAATCCGAGTCGTCACAGTGCAGAGGACCGCTTCGGAACAGAGAGCCCAAGACGCACGTCAAGACCAACCCACTTCAAACGCCTAGAATGCTTTGCCCAGGGAAACCTCATCGACGAGAGCACAGGTTCCAAACCCACAGCAAGGGGGCACTTCTCGCAGAGTGGACCTGCGCAGTTCAACAACTTCAAATGCCGGTCCTGCTACGGAAGCCCCTTTGAGGCGCGAGGCGCATCGCGCAGCCAGAGAGCCCCCGAGCTCCTCGGTTCCCTCTACGACTAGTGTACGTTTATCGCCTCGTACCAGATTTGTTCCGTCTTTTCGAAGACGACGTGGCAACAAGCCTCAGGTGTTGAATCAGCGTAGCGTGGACCCCAACACTCTGGGCTTAATACCCATCAACACCCTGCCAGGCCCTCTCTACGAGCCTGACTTTCCAGTGGCTAGGATCCCAGATAGAGGAAGCTACGCAGGATTCTCGCATGATAATTCTCCGCTCACCAACAGTCAGTTGACTCCAACGAGAGCGGCCGGTAGCAGACGTCGAAGCAACACGCTGCCCAATCCACCCACCGTCAATGAGCTCGATCATGGCGATTCGCAGTTTGATGGTAAGAGTGGCCTCAGACTTGCGCCCAAGCTTTGGCTAACGAGATGATGTAGAATCCTGCGCTGACTTTTGCCCGTCGACACCTGGCCTCCATCAGAGCATCGACATTCAGAACCGAGCGTCACCGGTCGTCGTATCTCAAACATTGTCCGGCGACGAGGGATCAGCCCACCGCCGATCTACCTTTCGGCAATTAGAAGATCCTCACACTCCCATGAGGAAGGGTAGAGCCCGCGTGTTCACTGGAAACCTACAGCCAGTGTCTGAGACGAAGATTGTCGAGGGGTTCAGGTCACCTGATGGTTGGCGTCGCGCCCCCAAACGAATTGCCGAGAGAGTGTTGAGCCCCCTATCATACAACAAGGGACCCAAGAGAAAGCGATCGGTGAAGAGAACCGAACAGAAGTCCCGAAGCGGAAATCAGAATCAGCGGGCCAAAGGCAGAGATACAGTGGCGGGTCAAAACGCGCAGTCAACCATGGTTCAGCATATTGTCAACATTGCCGACAGATTGGATGGCAACGAGGCAGTTGCCGCAAGCGACCAGGATAGCAACGAAGAGGATGACGAAAGCCCCAGATGATACACTCACAACGCTTCCGATCATGTTAAGACTCAACATCGACCTATGGGCCCGATGGAAAAGAAACGAAGAAGCGGCATCGCCCAACTGCAGAACCAGCGTGAAGCTAAGAAAGAGAAGAAACTCCCCATTGTGTCTTCTCCGGCAGAGAAGTGAGTTGATTCAAATGCTCCGGCAGCTGGTAAGTATGAAAGCAGTCGGAATGAACGTATCGCATACGCCACGGCTGACATTTTACTTAGCACTGACAAGTTGCGGCAAAGACATGTTGGAAACGAGAGGAACTGAAATTATGAAGTGACTGGAGTTGCATATGTTGGATCAACCCATTGCGTGGTCGTGTACGGATACGGATTGGAACGGCTGTTGGAAACGTTGAAGCATGGAAGAAGAAGAATTTTTACCCATTGTCGGTATACTGGCGAAGACCAGGGTTGGAGAACATAGTTCTGAACAAGAGTCCCCATAGGCATTCATGATAGCAATCACTCTCTACTCCACGAACATCGCAAGTCCTGAGCGCAGAGAGCATACCGTCTCACTTTTAAGCGTCGCCTTTCCAGATTATATGATTTGACTCTTCAGCACCCTGTGTGTACACGCACGCCTGTGAGGACGAGAAAACGACAAAAAGTGAATCTCGCATCATCAGAAACATCAAAAAGGATACACAGTGCCCAAGGCCAGAATCGAACTGACGATCTTCTCATTTCGGACCGGAGAACCGGATACTAGTGAGACGCTTTACCACTGAGCCACTCGGGCTTTACCTGTGCGATAGAGACGGGAAGCAAAGTGGAATATGATGGCTGTGGGTGTGGACCGGGGCAAGGAGACCTAAGTCGTGGAGGCGTGTGGGTTGGTTGACTCGAGAACTCGAGCGGGGCGGAAGATTGCAGATAGAAAGAGACGACGCCCGGATAGGCAACTCAAATTCGAACAATCTGGAGCGGGTCTTCATTCGGATCCGAGCAGAGGTATGTGGGAGAGGACGGGAGGGGAGGATCCAACTGCGAGTCAAGTAACGGGCTGAAGTCCGATCAGCCCATATCAAACCTTAATACAGATAAAAGCCGTGCTTATGTTAATTTGACCGGGTTGCTGTGGTGCTGTTTTTGGGTTGTTGGGTGGTTTTATTTTGGGGGGAGGGGGATGGATGATTTGCATGGAACACTTCCAGAAACTGGCCCCCAAAAGAGAGGGACCCTTGATTTTGGTCTTCGTTTTGATGATTGAAGCTCAGAAGCTGAGGCTGGAGCTGAAGGTTCCACCAATGATAGATAGACCGAGCAATTTCGACTTTTGAGTCTGAGATTGATGCTTCAATGCGGCCCGTTTGTATGTCGACTGTGGTAAAGCCGGAGTAAGTAGATCGAATCCACCCGTCAACGTCGATCCGTCCCCTCATTAAGGTATGTGTTGATTGTATGTGCACGACTTACGTGATTCAGACGACGAGTTTCAAGACACGAGAAGGCCAACCGCAGCCTTGACTCTTACGGTAGCAGTCCAGCTTCTTTTCATCCTTCTGTGACTCTGGAATAGGATAGATACAGCAGAGATCACCGCGATTAATTCTCCTACGAGCCAGCATCTTGTATATCGGCCAATATACATCAGACAGCAAAGGGTCAGACCCAGCTGAAAGCTTAATTCATGGCCTGGTATCACTATCGACAGAACTGACTTGCATGGCCCCACGGGACGTGGAGAAGGAGCACGCAAGAGCTATGTGTTGCCCTTGCTACACACGGACTGCACTGCAAAACGAACTCTTCGGCGAGAGATGGGAAAGAGGTGAATGAATCGAACATGTGGGGGTGATGGTCGTGGTGGTGGTTCTCACCTCGTCTATTACCTTGGTGTGCGTGTGTAACCTCCAGAATATCGAGTCTCACCATCACTGACAGCAACTAAAGACGGAGAAAGAAAAACCGGTTACCTCATCCCATCCCGCGCATCTGCGACGTCTTGGCCCTGCGCTGCGGGCGAACACCAACACGGCACACACGCGCAGGTTCAGCGCCGGGCCTGTAATTTGCCATCAACACCCGCCCGCCACCTCCGGCGCGGCGCCGGTTTCTGGGCTGAAGCAGTCAGGGCAAGACAGACAGACATTCAAGACATCCATCTGCATATGCCATCACTGCTTGGGACAAGATCCACAAACCTGTCTCTGTCTCTCTTCCCGCCCCGGTCCGAATCCAAATCCAAAACCCAAATTACACATCCAAAATGAGACATCCCAAACCCTTTTCCAGAATCTGTGAACCAGACTAAACCACATCGAGCCCGTCCCAGGAAACCTCGTATTGTGTGAAAGGCCGCCGGGAAAGCTGCTGTATCCCAAACCCAGATGCCCCACGCGCCTGTGCCGTCCCGGAGGTAGGCAGGCCCCCTTACCACTCGGCTCTCCGCGCCGTCTCCGGCGCGAATCACCACTCCCCCCTCCATCCCCCCCGGCCACGAACCAAACCTGCTCACCACATTCAACATGCCACACAGCGTTCCCGCGATATCCACACTGCAAAGACTTCCCACCTGCCCTTCAGCCCCCAAATCATTCAACCCCGGGGCTCTCACACACCCCATCCATCCTCCAAAACAGGAAATTTAGCTACGGCTGCTGCACGATGCAGGTGACAGAGACGAGAGGCTACCTAGCGAGAGACGGGAGAGTGAGAAAGAGAGAGCCCACCAGACTGAGACAAGCCTAAACCCGCACCTCCCCGCCGCACCCGAATACCACCCTCCCGGTAGGCCGTCGTCGCCGCCGCCGCCGCCTCAACGACGACGACGAACGACGACGACGATCTTCTCGTACGGTGCGTGTGGCGCCCAGGATTGGACGTGACAGGCACGACGTCGCGGTCGTGCCAAACCCCCAACATCAGAACAATCCGAACTTCAACGCCCCAAACCCCCTGCTTTGCGCATCTCACTCAGGACCAAGAAAACGTGTCAAACGTACATACATCAAGAAAGGCACATGTCATTCGTATCACAAACCCCCCCTAAACCCACTCACACACGACGTCCCGACCGTCCTCCCCCAGCACAGCCTCCCTCCTCAGCTACGCTACGCTACTCTACTCCCCCGAACCAGAGTTGCACAATCTCCGGCACCGATTGACACACTCACGCACATCTCACCGTTCGTCATCCCATCCCCCTCCCCAACCTCGAACGGGGCGGATCCCCCGTGCTTCTAGAAGGAAGAAACCTTGACGCGATCGACCTCCTTGGCAGCATGCAAACGCGTAAGAACCGGCGCATCTCTTCTGGAGAGATCGTCCCTACTTCCTGCCGTGGGTACAGCACATGGGCGGAGCCGGCGCGTGTATCGGATTACTATCCTCACCCATCGACCATCCTCCAGGGGGGCTCGTTCTGGCCTCCCCTCTTTACACTGCAGTAAAACTCTTTACACTGCGGTAAAACGCATCTGTTGTTCACACAAGGTCTGGATGGCGCGCATTTCCAATGAATGGTGAATAAAATAATGCCAAGAATCAGAAAAAAGAGCTCCCTTTGATAGCTTTCGCAACATGTCTCTTGTCACACGTAGCAACTGCCATCCTCCTCTTGTATCCAATCCCGTCAAGTAGTGCTGTTGGTTCCACGTTCGCTCTACAGCTCATCAGACCACCTCCCAAGCCAGTGTTGACACCGTACATCTATCCCCGCTTACACCCAGCGTAAGCCCCATCCATACCCTAGGTCCCCATTCCTCCTGCCTCTCCTCTTCCTCCTACCAAATGGACAAAAATATTTCAACAGCTTCGAAAAGAGGATAGCTCCGGTAAGACGGTTCCCGGTACAGTGTCTCGTTCGTCCGTGGTCTTGGGAGCTCCTACATAAAAAAACAATATTGCTCGGATCCACGTTTCGAGTTCGGACAGCCCAGGAACAGTTGCGAGACGAAACACCGTGGAGAGACCCCGCCCAGTCGAACCCACACAATGTTTCCGCGACAGGTATTCCAAAGCAGTCGTGTCTTCCCCTTGCGCAGCGCTATGCAGGTAAACCCCAACTCCGGTATGCTCTGGTCCATTTGAGCTTGCAGCCCCGCATCCCACATACGGCTGCTTTTCCACTCAAGATAATTCGGATGGGAAATAAGTTAAATCATTGAAGGATAAGGGTACGCGTCGATGGTGATCAGCAGTGGTATCGCCCCCTAGATGATACCACCTGGCGGATCGTAGCCAGATGCCGCTCCCCTTGCCGAAAGCCCGGCACTCCCTGGTTGTTCTGATGATACATCGACTTGGGCGTTATTCGTCTTCCGTAACATAAACATGGGCTTCTTGCCCTCTTTGTCCAGCTGCTTGAACAAGATGAGGGGCTTCTCTTCCAGTCCTAGACAGCGCTCTTGATCTCCGTAGACAATGTAAAGGGCGTACTGATCCCAAGGCGCGTTGATCTGGTATTTCTTGAGCGCGGCGGGCAGCACTTTGTAGCACGGGTCGTCCATGCTGACTCGGAAGGACTTGAAGATTTCGACGGATGCGTTGCTCGTGCTCGGTGTGTCGGGGGCGGGCGTCGGCCCACGTTTCGGAGCCACGGGCTGTTCGCGGCCTCTGTAGCCTTGATCGTTTTCGGCGAAAGTAGACCTTGTTGACGGGGTCGGCACGTCGGAACGGTAGGATCGAGAACCGAGAGTCGCGCCGCCAAGGGTCGGAGGGGACGTTGGAGAGGGCATATTCGGGGACGGGTAACCAGGGGAAGTAGCTGTGGCCGAGCCATTCATGGCAGCCAGATGCGACGAGGACAACACGGCTCTTTCTGCTGCGTTGGAAGGGTCCAGAGACTGCTCCATCCTTTCGTGAGTTGTCTGCAAATGCGACGGCGATGTGTTCTTCGGCGTCGTTCCCAGCATGATTCTCTTTGTGGAGTACTGTCTCTTGAGACTCATGGATTGGGTGGAGGAGGGTGTCGGGGCTGGCGGCGAAACGGTCTCGTATCCGTAACTCTGATTGTTGTTGGTTGACACATTCGGAAGTGGTTGTGACGAGTCCTTTGCCAGCCTCAGAGCCGGCAGCATGTCCTCCCGCAAGCGTCTGAAATCGTCTGTCAGTCGACGCAGATCCTGCTCGACCAAGCTCATTCGTTCGTCGCGCAGACGGAGCTGCTCAACCAAGTGCTTGATATCTTTGAGGGTCGCTGTCGCGTATTGCGCCTCGGCATCGGCGGCTGAAAAGATCCCAAGGTCAGCTAATCGGGTTTGAGAACGGAGCACAGCACCACCTACACAACGGCACGTAGTGGTCGCTTTCTATGGGAATGTCCTGAGCCTTTTTTACGTCGTAGACGCTCTTTAAAATGGTGAGGCGATGGCCAACACTGGCAATGCCCATAGACTTGAGGTCGTCATGCTGCAGAGCGACCAGAGCCTCGCCGACGATTTCGTTTTCTGTCACACAAAGGTCAGTCAATTGTCACGTCACCCTCGGATGGCGACGGGACAGGATGGACTCACCAACAAAGCGATCGGCGTATTGTGGCAGGCCAATTGTGCTAATAAAGTCGGCGCACTCATCAGCGGTCCACTCGGAGATGATGGTCTCGGGCAAGCGGTCGGCGCTGCTGCGATGGCCGTAGGTAGTAGGGGTATGTTCGTTTGAGGATGGCAGCTCGGAATCGATTGGCGATGCTTCGCTGTTGGTGACTGGGGAGTTGGGCCCAAGGCTGCGCTCGTATTCGTCGTCGGCGTCCGACTCCGCGTAGGCGGTGCCTGAGTCGAAATTCATGGCTGCTGTGGC